GGGGTTATTTAAGTATTTTACTTCCTCTTGTTAATCTGGGCAATTTATATTTTTGTAAATATGTATCCATTTCACTAAGATTGTCAAATTTGTTGGCATATAGTTGGGCAAAATAATTCCTAATTATTGTTTTAATTTCCTCTTCCTTGGTGGTAGCTTCACCCTTTTCATTCTTGATACTAGTAATTTGGTTTTCTTCTTTCTTTTTTTAATTAAATTAACCAAAGGTTTATCTATTTTATTGTTTTTTTCATAAAACCAGCTCTTAGTTTTATTTATTAGTTCAATAGTTTTCTTAATTTCAATTTTATTAATTTTTCCTTTGGTTTTCAATATTTCTAATTTGGTGTTTAGTTGAGGATTTTTAAGTTGTTCTTTTTCTAGTTTTTTTAGTTGTATGCCCAATTCATTAATCTCCTCTTTTTCTATTTTATTTATGTAAGCATTTAGAGATATAAAACTTCCCCTAAGAACTGCTTTCACTGCATCCCATAGGTTTTGGTATGTTGTCTCATTATTGTCATTCTCTTGAATGAAATTATTGATTGTTTCTATGATTTGTTGTTTGACCCAATCATTTTTTAGGATTAGATTATTTAGTTTCCAATTATTTTTTAGTCTATCTTTCCATGGCCCTTTATTACATATAATTTTTATTGCATCATGATCTGAAAAGGATGCATTTAATATTTCTGCCTTTCTGCATTGGATTGTGAGGTTTTTATGCCCTAGTACATGGTCAATTTTTGTGTATGTGCCATGTACTGACGAGAAAAAAGTATATTCCTTTCTATCCCCATTCAGTTTTCTCCAGAGGTCTATCATACCTAACTTTTCTAATGTTCTATTCACCTCCTTAACTTCTTTCTTGTTTATTTTGTGGTTAGACTTATCTAGTGCAGAGGGGGAGGTTCAGGTCCCCCACTAGTATAGTTTTGCTGTCTATTTCTTCCTGTAACTCCCTGAACTTCTCCTGTAAGAATTTGGATGCTATACCATTTGGTGCATATATGTTTAGTAATGATATTACTTCATTGTCTATGGTGCCTTTTAGCAGGATGTAGTTTCCTTCCTTATCTCTTTTGATTAGATCTATTTTTGCTTTTGCTTTGTCTGAGATCAGGATTGCTACCCCTGCTTTTTTTACTTCAGCTGACACATAATATATTCTGCTCCAGCCTTTTACCTTTACCCTGTATGTGTCACTCTTTTTCAAATGTGTTTCCTGTAAACAACATATTGTAGGATTATGGTTTTTAATCCATTCTGCAATCCATTTCCATTTTATGGGAGAGTTCATCCCATTCACATTCACAGTTATGATTACTATCTGTGTCTTTTCTCCATCCTTTTCCCCCATTTATGCTTTTCTTTTTCCTTTTTCCTTTCCCCCTTCACTAGTGTTTTGCTTTTGACCACGCCTCCTTCAGTCCCTCCCTTTTATTATCCCTTTCCCTTTTCTTCCCCTTTACTCTTACTGCTTCTTCCTCCCTTCTTTCCCCCCCCTTTTCTTTCCCCCTCCCTTTTCTTTCCCCTTTTCCCTCCTACTGCCTATAGGGCAAGTTAGATTTCTATACCTAACTGATTATGTTATGCCCTTCTTGAGCCAAATCTGATGAGAGTAAGGTTCAAATAATGCTCCCCCCTCCCTTCTTTCCCTCTGCTGTAATAGGATTTTGTGTCTTTTCCTGTAATGTAATTTACCCTTGTCTGCCTCCTCCTTTCTCAGTACATTTTCTAAGATCAGATTGATCCACTTATTTGGATCCATTTAACCCACTTGATTAGATTTTTTTTTATCATTACATCAAAGTCAACTAATATCCACCCTCTTTATTTATATTTCTTTAACATGGTGTAATAACAATACAGTTCTCAAGGGTTGCAAGTGTCATATTCCCTTGTAGGGGTTTAAACAGCCCCCCCCCACTTATTAATAACATATTGTATATTTCTGTCCCATTTACCTTTTTTAAGTCCTTCTTGAGTCCTGTACTTGATGATCAAAGTTTTTGTTGAGCTCTGGTCTTTTTATCAGGAAAGTTTGGAAGTCTCCTATTTTGTTGAATATCCATCTCCTCCCTTGAAAAATGATGCTCATTTTTGCTGGGTAATTGATCCTTGAAAACTTTTTTTTTTTGAGGCAATCAGGGTCACACAGCTAGTAAGTATAGTAAGTGTCTGAGGACAAATTTGAACTCAGGGAGATGAGTCTTCCTGATTCTAAGCCTGGTACTCTACCTACTATGCCACCTAGCTACCTCCCCTAACCTCTCCTTTTTTAAAGAAGGCTATCAGTCAGAATCCTGTTTTGGGAGAACTGAGGTCTGAGATTAAAAAGAATGGAAGTGGAATGGGAAAGCACTGAATAGGGAATCTTGCTACCTGAACTACCAGCTAACTTGATAAGTAAACTTGGGCAAACTGCTTGACCTTTTGGGGTCTCAGTTTCCTTCTCTGTAAAATAAGGTTGACGTAAAATGAGGCCAGATGACTTCTCAGATCCCTCCTAGTTCTAACATTCTGTGATTCTCTGGTGCTGTCAATGACTTACCCAAAGTCACACAATGAGGAAGCAGTCCTGAAATATGACTAGAGCCTGGTGCTCCTGGCTTGAAACCTAGAGCTTCTTCCACTGCAGAAATGAGGCTTAGTCTGTCAGAAAGATTTTGTAGAGGTGCCTTTGGAGACCTTTGAAATCCTGAAAGAGGAGTGGGGCAAGGTGAGGGTAGAGACTGGCAAGGTCCTGCAATGTTGATAATGGTCTATAGATTGTCACCACTTAAACTCTTTGAAGCTACAGAGACAACAGAAACAGGCTTGAGGTATTTTTATATTAAATAATCTGAGCTCTCTGTCTCTCTCTCTCTCTCTCTCTTTCTCTGTGGAGAAAGAGAGACAGAGACAGAGAGACACACAGAGAGATGCTGAGGCCTCAGTTTTGTTCTAGATGAAAGTCAAAGGGAATGAGTGGTCTGGTGTGCTGATAATTCAGGGTCATGCCATCCAAATGAGAAGGGACTCTATGTTAGCCAGTTCTCAGTGCCCATCACACATCTGAGTCTGCTTGGTCTAGGGCATGTAAATGAATCAAGGGGACAGAGCTCAGGTTCACCAGACTGCCCTTCCCCAAGTCTTCTGTTTGTCCTCTTCCTTCCAAGGAGGATTAATGCTATCTTCATAGTCCAGTTAGCTTCAGACTAAGCTCTATGAATGGCACTATGTAGTGGGTGTGGGTGTATGAAAGGGTAAAGGACTGAGATGCCTAAATCCATCTGTAGCAAAAACATTTTGGAATGCTATCCTCTTTCCTCTTTTCTTCTCTTTCCCCCATTCTCTCCTTCCTCCTCATCAGAGGACCTAGATTTTAAACCAAGCTCAGTCACTTATTATCTGGGTGACCTCGAACAAATCATTCAATTTCCCCAGGACTCAATTTCCCCACCCATAAAATGGGTGATTTGGACTAATCTCTATGGTTGCTTTCAGTACTAAGTCTGTGATTCTGCATCTCTTCCTCTCTTCACTCATAGTTACTTGGCTAGCATAGTTGTAGGAAGGTAAGGTAGAAAGCCACAGTTTTAAAGCCAGAAGTCACCTTCTTGTCTGAAAGATCCTATTCTCTTTCCTTATCTTTATCATTTCCTTTGGACCCATACTCCACTCCCCCCCCCCCATATGTGGTGCATTGTTATTTACTTTCGAACATGCAGATTGGCTCAAGGTTCTTGTTGGGTTCCAGGTCTTCTTGGTGGCCTTCATTAGCGTCCACTTGGGTTTCCAGGTTATTATTGAGGCAAACCAATGTGGTAGGCCCCAGGTGTGTCTAGCTGCTTGGTGGGATTTGGGAAAAGCATGGAAAAATTTAGTGTTCTTTAGAATGTGCCCAAACCTTCTGTGCAGATTTAGTGCTGTATCAACCAAATCTTCTTTTGTTGCTTCATGTTGTTTGCAGATGTTCAGTTTTGTATAGGCAGAATCCAGGAAAGGTGTGTTTGGCTGCTAACTTGATCTGTGACCTTCAGTGAGACATGTCACCTCTCTTGAGCCTCAGTTTCTTCATCTGTAAAATGTGCCACATGATTTCAAAGATTCCACTCAGTTCCAAAATTCAATGGATACATGTGTGCATGTATACATGCATGCATTCATATACATGCAAATATCTACATGTACACTCATGTGTGTATATGTGTGTATGTGTGTAGGGCAGCTAGGTGGCACAGTGGATAAAGTACTGGGCCTGGAGTTAGAAAGACTCATCTCCCTAAGTTCAAATCTGGCCTCAGACATTTACTAGCTGTGTGACCCTGGGTAAATCATTTAATCCTGTTTGCCTTAGTTTCTCATCTGTAAAATGAGCTGGAAAAGGAAATGGCAAACCACTTCAGTATCTTTGCCAAGAAAAACCCAAATGGGGTAGCGAAGAGTCAGACACAACTGAAACAATTGAATAACAACAACAAATATATGTGTCCATATGTATGTATGCATATATGTATGCATATTACACATATACATACCTTTAGATATACACACACATGCAGAGAGAGAGAGAGAGAGAGAGAGAGAGAGAGAGAGAGAGAGAGGAGAGAGAGAGAGGCCCCAGTGCTATTCCCTAAATCTCTAAATCTGTCCGGGTATTTTTTTGTAAGAGGACGAAGAGCCAAAGCCCAGAGAAAACATTGCAGTTTGTTAGTGGCAGAGAGGGACTTAGAACTCAGGTCTCCTAGTTTCAGACAACTAACTTAACCTTACTTTGTCCTTCCTTACTTCCCTTTGAAAACCAATTGCTTTAGATGTGTTTCTCTTACTCTCACTTACCCTTCCACTAGACAGACTACCCTAGGGAGGAGGCAGGAGCTAGGCTTTTTGGGCCACCTTCCCAAATAGTGACTACTCAGTGATTTTGTCTGGAGCCAAGCACCACCTCATTGATGTGTTAGTAGGACACGATGTTAGACCAGGTCTCTTAGGACTCTTTCTTTGTTTTCTTCCAGATTTACAGAGTTTTTGGACCCATTCCAGAGAGTCATTCAGCCAGAAGAGATCTGGCTTTATAAAAATCCATTGGTGCAATCAGACAATATACCAACACGCCTCATGTTTGTAAGTATTGGGTGATTTCATGGAACATTCGATAGCCCTCTAAATTTTAAATAAAAAAAATTATATTTATGTTTCTGTCAACTAAAAAGACCTGGGAAAATTGGATAGGAATAAGAACTTATCAACTCCATTTAATTAAAACTATAGAATTCCAGAGTTGGAAGGCATCTGACAGGTCATTCAATTCAAAATTGTGAGTGAGCTATTAGGGTAATGTAATAAATAGTAACTACTCAGCGCTTCAGGAGAAAAGACAGCATAGCAGAGTGCACAGTCCATTGGCCTGGGGTGCAGGAGACATTGCGCCTGTTACCACTTTGCCACTGACTGGCTATGAGACATTGGGCAACTCACTCTACCCCATTCCCATGCCTGCCACAGGACATAGACTTTTTCTTTTTTTTCTTGGTTTGGACCTAAAATTTCATCAGTCCAGAAAACTGTTGTCATGCAAACTCACTTTACTGTTGCAGATCTGCAACTCTAGTTGGTGATTTATAGTCATCCAGGGTTGCCTGAGGTACTGAGAAGTCAAGGGACTTGCCCCTAGTCACACAAGCTAATATATGCCCAAGAGAGTTATACCATAATTTTGCTTAGACCTTTCTTTTATCCATTTCTTTCTCTTTTTTTTTTATCCATTTATTTTTGGGAAAAGGAAGACCAGACCTGTGATTTCATTGGTGTAGGGACCTTTTGGTAAGGAAGCCCCCTTTACCAATTATTGGTACCTACTCTGCAATGTATGATCTCAGACGGTCGCTTAGCAAAGTGAGAGGCTAAATGACTGATTAGGGCTATGTACCAAGTAGGTGTGGGAGCCAGGTCTTTGATCCCAGGTGCTTTTTATTCAGAGACCAACTCTCTATCCACTTAGTGGTGTTGACTTTCAGCATCATTTGTTGACATTATTTGATGAATTGGATTCCATTGGGACTATAAGATTTAGTGTGGATCTGTAAAAATACAATCAATGAAGTGTGTAAATTTCTAATACCTATAAAAAAGTGAAAATTATTTTTCAGCACAGGCCTTCCTTCTGGCAAGGACAGCTCTCTAACTGCTAAACCATGTTGCCTCTCAGGGTTTCAAATTATTCATCTGTGAAATTAGAGGGTTAGCATATATGATTTCCAAAGTCTCTTCTCATTCTAGTGTTCCATGAGTCTGTGTATACTCGGAGAGAGTGAATGTCGAATCCATTGTTAGATGTCTGTAAGGAAGGAAACTTGGTAGCCAATGAACTGATCTTCTTATCTGTTGACCCTATAAGAAGAGCCTGGAATTGTGGATGAAATCATAGCTAGTATAGATAAAAGCTCAATATCTCCAAAGTACAAAATTTAAATAGTGTGTATATCTTAATAACTAAAAGGTCTGGAATTTAAGAATACCTCAAAGGACATCAATAGAAGTGCCCCATCCTAAAGAGGAGTAATTTTATAAATCAGTCTTGATGTCCAGGACAAAAGCCTTCCCTTTGTGATTACACTTGAAGGAGGAGTGATGACTTTAGGATTTTGTCCTCTGTCCTTTCTACAAAATTATTTATCAATCTTGGTTCTACCTCTGCATAGCCATCACTTTTCCCATTCTCTACTTTAGGGCTGGGTGGAAAAATACCAGAAGAAGATGTTGAGAGGTTTTATTTTTCCCCCTCTTTTATTTTCTGTTAGCCTGATGTGTATAGATTGTGTTTAATTTGGAGTTTAATTTTGAAGAGTGAAGGACTCAGTTCAAAATAACCCGCTAATTTACACCTTGAATTCTGCCAACTTTCCTAGGGTAGGTGAAATTCTGAGTTGAAAATAAGCAAACAAAACTACTTGTTAGATATCACACAAAGACTATTTCTATTTATACATCATTAAACCCCATGCCACTGATTGCCAAAATGATCGAGTCAAATGCTTTAAATGCCTCTACAGAAGATAATTTTGAGTTTGAAAAAGAAAACCACAACAGAACATCTTTGGTTTTATTGATGAGATCACTTTAATTAGTGATAATTGGAAGAATATTTGTATATGGAAACGCATTCCATGCAAGCATAAAACAATCACTTCAATTGATTTCTGATAATTAATTTTCATCCACAAAGAAAAGCTGAATTTCATAAATCTGAGGGAAAAAGATGAGGACTGTGCTGTGGAGATTGTATTTTCTTTTGTTGTGAGTAGTGTGATTGGGCACCTTTCCATTTCAATATAACACAGGTTATCTTGAAATCAAAACTTTCTATCATGTCTAATCAAATTAGTCTTATTGCTTTAATCAGATAAACCTTGTATTTGTCATTTATCTGCATTTTAGGTCTCTCAAGCTGTAGAACATAATTTTGGGAATTAATTTTCATGCCAGATTGGTGGAAATTTGTTACAGAGTCCTGGATTTATTAACAACAGACTTTTTGAAATCTAGAGAGAAAAGCCATGAATATTCTAGCTTCAGACACAAATAAGATGGAGGCACATTTGCATGTTGGCAGCTAGTAGAGAGGAAGCACTGAAGAGGTTTTTCAATGTTGCATTTTTTTCAAAGGATAGAAGTGTATTCAACTTGGTTGTATCTGCAGCTCTTTTAATGAAATAAGTTCAGTCTCTATTTTGTTAATACTAGTTGATGAATTTCATTCAGTTGGGCCCACAAGATATAGTGTATATCTATAAAAACACAGTCAATGCAGTGCATAAAATTATATATATATAATATAAAAGTGAAAATTATTTTTCAGCGCATAAATTAAATCTGGTCTTCTGGGTGCTATTAATAGAGACAATATTAAAGATATTCTTTTGGCCTTTCATAGATCCTTTCTAATAGCCTAGATGTGTAGTAGTCAGGTTTATAATTAATAGGATATATTTTTAACAAATGTTTAATTCTTTCCAGGAGCTCTGAATATCTTTATATAATACCTTAGAAATTGGCCATATCACCAACTAATTAAGAAAAAGATAGAAGTACATCAAAGCTAGAAGAAATGATAAAAATAAGAAAAGACCAAGAGTAATATAAGACCTTTGATCCAACTTATCACGCAAACTTTTGAAACAATCTATTGACACAAACTTTTGGTTCAAAGAAATGGGACATGGGCAAAAATAAAGAGAATTAACTCAATAACTATCTCTTAGAGAAGTGTAACCAATGCAAAACAGTTGCTGCAGGGAAAGAATACAAGAGTCCATATGCTTCCTGAGACAACAAATGCTTGACTTCCTTGCCAGGTGGAGAGATACAGGCAGCTAAAGGTAACATTGGTTTAGGGGACAAGCATATTTGCAATATATTATAGGATATATTACAGAATGATAATTATAAGTAACAATTATTATTAGTATAACATAGAACATAATTATAGGATATAAGCAAATATGAGAAATATTGCCTACTAAAACAGTGACAAGCAGTGGAGGAGAACATGAGCCTGCTGAGCATTTCTAGGAAGGAGAGCAATAAATAGAGGTGAAATGGAACAGATGTACAAGTATTTCCAAAGTCATATATTGTATCAACAATTGGATTCCATCCACTCGATATTCCATGTAAGTGGCAATAGAATTTAAGAAAATTACTTTGGGAAAAGTGTATAGACCTCACACCTTCTGTCCCAGAGGTAATGCAATTTTCAAGGTCTTCAAGCATCAGTTTGTAAGACCTTTTGGAGATGAGGATTTCCAAAGAATGGACAATGGTATAAGGGTAGCTATTCCCAAAGAAAAGCAACTGAAAAGACCTCATAATCCAAATCCCAACATTCTCCTGTCTGTATAATCTTTATGACAATAGTTTATACACTGAGGATGTCCCAGATGAAACTATGTGAAGGCAGCAGGCAGGTTTGCACAGACAATTTTCTATAGTGAGTTATATCTTCATAGTAACACAATTACCAGAAAAGTATAGAAATGTCAATATGCCTGGGATTTGTTGATTGCAAGAGACCATTTAGTTCACTATAATAAAATGCAGTTTTATTGGCTCTTCTCAAGCAAGGTAACTCCCATAAATGTGTTAAAATCATGTATGATGCCAAGACCATGCAGATAACTTTATCATATGATCTGCTGAATACCATCTTCAAGTAAGGCACCATAAAGGGAAACATATGCTCACCAAAGGTGATTCCCATTGCTATAGAGAGGGCAGAGGGAAAATGGATTGAATATTCATATAGTGGTTCTCCAGATGTTCTTGTTTATGGACAATATTGTATTCATTAATATTGTATTCATTTCATCAATCCCCAGAAGAGGTATCTAAGTGAGATCCAAGGTTACCCAAAAAAGCTTGGCTTTGGCAAATGTTGCCCTGGTGTCAGTGAAGATCCAGAGGAAGGCAGTCAGTGCATTGTCTGGCTCTTCCATGGAGAGTTTAAGGAAAAAGAGGGATTGCACAGGGTTGTGATCGGCACTGGTAGAGGGACTATATGTGCCCCAGATCACAAATACACTGGAAAAGAAGACCTAAGAAATGAATATATTGGCCTCTTATCTTATTTAAAATATTTCTATTGAAACATAAATGTCTTATATAAAGCATATTTTCAATGCAGCTTGAATTGACCCACATTTTTTCCCCCTTCTTGTGCAAATTAGCATTTTGGCCATTTTAAAATTTGGAGTTCCTTTCCTCCCTTTCCCACTCCCCTTACCAGTCACCTTCCCCTTTCCTTTTTCTTTCTTTCTTTTTGATAACTAATCTTATTGGCCTAGTATTTCCCAGATGATATAATGGATAATTTCTCAACAATTGAGCATAGGTAACATGAATGATTTTACAACAGAATTATCTAACAGTAAAGTTATTTCATCAGAAGTTTATTAAGCACCTACTGAGCTGTCCTCTAGGACATATTCCCTGCCCTCATGGAGCTTACAGTCTTGAAGTGGGGAGGGGAGGAAAAAGAGACACAGAGAGAACAGTGACGTCAAATAATAAATGATAAATAAGGCCATTACAGAAGTACAAAGTGCTGTGCTAGGAATGGGGGATGG